TCATGTCGCCATAGAAACTTGGAAACAGCGTTAGCCCCACTACGGATTGGGCACGTTGGTGTGAAAGAACACTTGCACCATTTCAGACTAGCAGAGACTAGCCTATGCCAATGTGGAAGTATAGACTCAATTGTTCACTACTTGTTACAGTGTCCACTTTTTGCAATTGCACGGACTGAGCTACAAATAACACTGCATGGGCTCGGAGTCCCAATAACGGTTAAAAACTTGTGCGGTGGTGGTGACTTTACCCCACAGATTCAATTCATGATAGTTGAAGCCTTCTCTAAGAACCTTCTCAGCACAGGTTGCCTGAGAGACCTGTAGACTTTGCCTAACCACTAACTTAGAGGTCCTCAACCATCCTTTGATGCCACCTCAAGTGCCATGCTCTTGGAAGGATTCTATCCCACATGTATTATTGTAAATGTGATTATGTACAGGATCCTCCTAGGAGTCTTAAACAAATCGCCCAGACAGAAAGCCCCCTTTGAAGTACGACCCTGATGGTAGTTGTCAAGTAGCATACGGTAGCAGTTTTCTCAGCTAAAGTGTGCCCTCCTCAGCCCAGGCCGGACCATCTGGCCCATGCTCCCTGTCTAGGTAGGTCCTCCTGATGGGCAAGGGTGACTAACATTGCTCGAATTACTAATCTAATTTGAAGTAGCTAGTTGAACTAACAAAACAACCTCAAAGTTTTCAAAGTCTAATCTGGCCTTTTATCCAAGGCCGCTCCAGTCTGGCCATTGCTGACCATCCAGACGTGAGGCGGGTGGTGAACAACCGAGTCCTCATAAAAACGGATCTGAAGAAGAAGAAGAAATGTTACTCCTACAATTTCAATCTAATTCTAAATTTCTAAATATTTTATTACATGAATTCAAAATCCTGAACAAGACCGCTACAGCTGTGACTCAAGGCCCCCATGTGCAAGTAGGCTATTACAGGAGGCAATTAAATGCTGAGCAAGTGACAGTATTTATCATCTTTGGCTGTCTGTGTGTGTAGTGCTGTCACGGGGGGGGGTAATAAGGTACTGGCAGGGTAAATAGAGACAGTCCTCCGTCATGTTGTTTAAATGTTATAGGAGCAAAGCTAATTGAAATACCGTCAACCGGGGCTACTCGGGACGGGCGGGGCTACTCAGGACAGTCCTCCGACACGGGGTAAAACTGTTATAGTAGCAAAACTAATTGTAATATTGCAAAAACTAAATATAGTGGCGTAAACGTCAACATTTTTCCTTTCTATTTAGTATAAAGGAAGTCAAAAAATACTACATTTACTAGCTTTGAAAAATTCCTGAAAAAATGTTGAAAAATGCTATTTTGAAAAGTTACTTCTGCTAAGGTCTGTAGCCAAAAAAATATTTGCCATATTAAAAAATTTTACTTACATAAAAGATGCACCCAGTTGTTGGCTTGAAAAGGTGATTGATGGAATTGTCCTATCTCATTCCAAAAAAAAAATGGTGGCCATTTCCGCACGGCAGGGCTTCTCGGGACACCCCCCCCCCTGGGGCTATTTGGGACACCCCCAAAAACGCATTTACAGTAGAACCTCAGTAAGCAAAGGCTCCAGTTAAGAAAAAAATGGATTAAAAACAAAGAATATTGATTACATTTACCTCGCTCGATGAAAAAAAGTTCACTTATCGAAAAATTGGTGCATCATCGGTCGTCACAAAATTGTACATAGAATGCTACATAGGTATATATTTGTGCACTGGGCATCATAGAACGAAAAGTAATTGACCTAAACTACGATTTATTTCTCCAAAATATATGATGGTTGTCACTAAAACATTCCTGTCTGTTTCAGGTATGTTTTTCATAATTTTTTTTTATAGTAAATTCACTTAACCCAATTAAAATGGCGCATAAACGAGCACATGGCGCATAAACGAGCACTGTTGTGCTTCTATTGTGCTTGCCATGTCCGTCTGACTGTCTGTCCGTCCCTCTGTCCATTCGTCTGTGACCTCAAGTTTTCGTCGATCAGAAAATGCGCTCTATGTCACTCACTGCAGTGAGTACATTGAGTTATATTTTTTTATAGTAAATTCACTCAACCCAATTAAAATGGTGTGAAATTACAAGCTGTCCTGTGAGCTTACAGATACGGAAAAAATGCTATAACTATAAGGCTGCTGATATGAAGCTTGCAGTGGACAAGATTGTTGTAAATGCTCAATGGCATGTTCATGGATACAGTAATATCACATCAATAATACAGTAATATCACATCAATAATATGGTAGGTACCGTCAACTGGGGTGACTTCGGCCACGTTTTTTATTTTGTTTTGCAAACAAAAGCGGGGTCATAAACGATGGCAAAGTCACTCCAGCATTTATGACTTAGTTTATGACCCCGGCATTTACGACCCCGTTTTTGTTTGCAAAACAAAATCGAAAATGCGGCCGAAGTCACCCCAGTTGACAGTAATTAATGTTTATGGTAATATCATCAATAAAGGAAAAACAAGTAAAAATCACTGAAAATGTCATTTATTCTACCTCTACATCATCTACAATGAAAGAGGAGGACTTCAGAGTACTGTTAGTAATGGATGAGTACACTCTGCATGCTTCAAATATTTTAAAATGAAGTTTTATTGCAAGTGTCCCGAGTAGCCGCCCCTTCGATGGGGCTACTTGAGACACTCTTTTTTTTGCTTCTGGCACCTTAGGAATAGCATATGGAATTTTTTTGATGATGCCATTTGATAGCCCTCACCAAGAGCTATAAAATGAGCCTAAACTTGTTTATGAAATGTTTCATTGTAAGAAGTTATTAACAGTTATTAACAAAAAAACGCTCAAAACTGTCCCAAGTAGCCCCGGTTGACAGTATTGCAAAACTAAAAGTAGTGTCATAAAATTCAAAATTTTTCTTATCAATGTAGCATAAAGGAAGTTGAGAAATGATACATCTACTAGCTCTACAAATTCCATGAGAAAAATGTTAAAAAATTCTACTTGAAAAAGTACTTCTGCTAAGGTCTGTAATTAAAAAAAATATATTTGCAGTATTAAAAATTTGTGTTAAAAAAAATGTGCAGACAGGTGTTGGCTTCAAAATTTTATTGGTGGAGTTTGTGCACCTCAATCTGAAACAAAATGATGGCCATTACCGCAAGACGGGGTATTATGGGACACCCCTAAAATTGCTTTCACAGTAAAACCTTGGTTAGCAAAGGCCCTGGTTGACAAAAAAAAAAAATTGGCCAACGGCAAAGAATTTTGATCAAATTTACTTCTCCCAGCAAAAAAATTGCACTTAACATAAAATTAATGCATCACTGGTTATCACAAAATTGTGCATAGAATGTCATAGACAGAATTGTGTGCCAAGCAACATAGAATGAAAAGTAATTAAACTAAACTATGATTCATTTCTCCAAAAAATATGATGGTTTCACTATAATATCTAAATATATAAAGTGTTGAGTATAGAATGGAAAAATAGGTTTTGTTAATGAAAAATGAATATGGTAATATATAAATAAAGTAATAACAAGTACAAATCACAGAAAGCATCATTTATTCTGCATCTACAACATCAAACAAATTAAGAGGAGAACTTTGTAGTACTGTTAGCAATGGGTGAGTACTACACTCTGCATGCTTCAAACATTTTAAAATTCAGTTACGGTATTTCAAGTGTCTCAGATTATCCCATTGCCATGGGTAATTTGGGATGTTTTTCTTTCATCTGCCACCTTATGAATGGCATATGTAATTTTTTCAGAGATGCCATATGATAGCCCTCACAAAGACTTAAAATGAGCCCAAACTTGTTTATGGAATGTTTCATGGTAAGAAGTTTTCTACAAAAAAAAATCCTCCCTCATTGCCCCATTTGACATTAGTAAGAATGAGTTACTATGGGATAAAAAAGAATCTATATTTATTTTTCTAAATGTGATAGGTATCTCTAACTGTATTCATGTCAAATTCTATGTACAGCAACATCTTGATTAGCACGGTTTTGAATACCGCGGTTTTGATTAACTTTACTTTATGAATTTCAGCCAATAATTCTTTATATAAGGTCCCGTTCCATAGGCACTTGTGCTGACTACAGTGTTGGTTTAACCGCGCCTTGTCTCATTCATAACTCGAATGGCCTGGATAGGCAAGTGAATTGCTATTGCACAATTATGCAGGAGAGAAAGAAATCTAATACTACTGTGCAATTGAAATTGGATTCGTTTTTCAGTAAAAAATAAATGTTAATTCATTCGCATTTCTTTTATTTATTTTCCCTATTATTTAGAAAAAAAATGTGATGAATTTTAGTGGAAAAAAAATTATTATGTAACTTTGCTATTTTTGAGGATTCATTAAATTATTCCCATATATTCCCATATAAGTTATATATATATATTCCCATATATTCTCTCATATATATTCCCATATAAGTTCGATTAGCGCAGTTTTGCTTAACACGGTAAAACTTGAGAATTTATTAACTGCGTTAATCAAGGGATTGCTGTATGCATTTCGCTACATATGGCCAGACTTCATTGCAATAATGGCTTGGTTTTGTCTATACTTCATCAAAGTAATCAATTACTAAAGCTCATATTTTCTCTGCACTCTTTAAGATAGTCTGAATGAAAAGTATATAGGTATTATGAGTTTTAAAGGGAATATATAGGTAATGATAATTCAATAACCTCAGTGAGAACTTCACAATATGAGCTTAGATCATAACTAACTTTTTGATTATTTTAAGTGAAATGGAACCTAACATTATGTAATTCATTTAGTGATTATTCTACTCCGTTTGACTAGGTTTTGTTGGATTAGGCATCTTTGAATTGGATTTTGTACCACTTTAAATTCCAGTAGAATACACTTCTGTTCATTTGCCCTTGAGAATTAGCTCAAGTGTTATTAAATACAGAACATATTGTAGTCCTAAGAAGACACACTCGTGTTAAGTTGAAATTATTGTATTTGTTTATTTATATAGGTACAATTATACATACGGTACCTACTCAAATAATTTGAAGGATCTACGTTCTCATGCTTTCAAGCTACACTTCATTTCAGGTGCAGAAAAAGCCACTTGCAACCTTTATTTGTTTTTGATTTTGTGATGGCTGGTAAAAATTATTTCACATCTCTTCACTTAATAAAACAATGTTTTCTGAGACATGGTTCCCATGCTTCAAGCATGAGAGTAACAAGAAAGACTCCAAAGATGTGTATTCAATATATTTGTAACAGCAGGTAAGAAACTTTTTTATTGCTTAATGTGGTGAATTTTTCCACTCTACAGTTCCTAAAATTATTCACTTTTTTAAATGTATGCAGGTTTTTTAGTTACCTATAATTTATTCATTGCACTGAAACTTGAAGCTATCAATTCCTGTAATCTTTCATAAATTCTAATATTACGGATTTGTTGGAGGTTATATTCAGGTATCAATTTTGTTTACTGCATCATTGAAGCTCTTGGCTAGAGTGAATATTATATACTGTACCTAGGTATATGATGGGTGTTCTCCTTTAAGAATTTTACATTAATTATGAGCTTGAGTCTGTTTGTTTCTGGTTAATCTATGTAGATTGATTGAATTCTTTTCTCAGAAGATTGTGTTATGTTTCATAGATTTTTCTTTTGAATAAAAATTATTGTAATCAAGATAACCAATGAAAAAGCCAGCCAAGCATTTGCTTGAAATTTTGTTATTTCAGTAATAGGTACTAGAGTGCATTTAAAAATGCACTCTTTGTGTTATTTGTAGCACAATACCGGTATATGTGCTGGGTGCTCTTTTATAATGGATATTATATATATTAAATGCTAATGCAGCATCAAAGTTCTAAACATTATATCCAATAATTCCCACATTGCTTATAAATTCTGTTCTGGCTCATCTTATTTCTTGAGTTATTTCCCAGGGCAAGTTTTCACAGCTCTTCAGTAGCATGTGGCATGGAAGAATTTTTTGACCAGCCCGAAAATTGGGGCAAGCGAGAAATTAAAGTCGGGCGTGCTTGGAGAGTTGGAGAGCTCCGAATCAAGAGCAATGAGGATCTACATAAACTATGGTGAGTCAAGCCATGTGCATGTCACTTGTTGGTTTTAAAACATTTAGAATGGTTTCAAGACTTAACACGTTGATGACGAAGTGGTACATATGCACACCGCGAAATGTATTTCTCCAGGACGTAGTGGTACATAATTCAGGTTGCCTAAAATTGGCCAAATCCGAGAACAAAAAAGGCCAAAAAGGCCGATAGCTCAAAATATACTAGTTTATTTGTAGGTTCCACTTTAAAAATTTCATTCATTTTCTTTTTGCAGTATTTAAAATTTAATTAGGAAGTACCCCTATCATAAATTTTAGCTGGCCAACGCAATTGAGGGAAACTAAATCACAGAATTTGTCCGGAAAATATGACCGTCTGGCAACCCTGTTTAAAAACAGTACAAAAAATGAAATAATATTTAAAGATGAAGCAATTGTAGCCAATGTGTTAATGAATAGAATTGAAAGAGCATGTATGAAAAACTTGTAATTTTTTTCATTTGATTTTTAAATTCAATCTATTCTATATATACTTGCACTATATATTTTTTACAGCCAATGGTTTTCGATCCAAAAAAAAAAAAAAAATTGCCACTTAATTAGGTTCACAGTTGTAGGTATTACAATTCACTCACATAATTCAACTTATCCAATTCAAATCAATTCACTCACATAATTCAATTTATTCAATTCAAAACAATTCACTCACATAATTCAACTTATTCAATTCAAATCAATTCACTCACATAATTCAATTTATTCAATTCAAAACAATTCACTCACATAATTCAACTTATTAAATGGAGCAGTGCCTTGGCAAAATGATTTGCAATCTTTTGATTGAATTTGCAGCTGAATACTTGAATTTCATTGGTCTACTTTTGTTAAAAAATTGTGATCAAGGATTAGCTTTAGCTTGAGCTGGCAGTTTTAAATCAAATTCATTGACTGCGCTTCACTTGATGACTCAAAAATATTCTATAAAGTTTATATCTCCATACCCTATGATCAGGTACGTGCTGCTGAAAGAACAAAATATGCTTCTGGCTCTGGAGTATGCCTGCAAGCAAGAGCATCATCTCTTCCCCAATCCTGAGAGATTGGACAAGGTAGACCCATGACTTGTCTCCTGCAATTATTTTAACATCTATTTTTTAATGTGATTATTATAGCAACACTAATTCATTAAGCACTTTGTAATATTGATAATTTCAAGAGGTGTAAACTACATTGAAACTGAGTGCATTCAAGGGGCAGATGTTGGGGCTCTATAGGTATCGGTGTAAAAATGTATCAAAAATATTTTTGAGACCATTTGTTTTGTTGGTCTTAACCAAAGTGACCTGGTTTAGGATCCTAGTACCGGGTTCTCAATCTTTCTGTGATCACACACCATTTGAAGGTTCTGTATAGTCATCATGCTAAGCCAGGCGCTTGCCATATAGCAGTGTACTACACGTAACATATCAATTGTTCATTTAATGTATCACTAATGCCATGCATCATCTGCCTATATCTGACATCAGTAGATGTTATTTTACTCATTGCACCACTCATTAGTATATTGCTCATGTATTTGATACTCTAATTTAATGGTGAGCTGCTCGGCCCAGGTGAGAGGCAATTAACAACTGTTGCAAATTATTACCAGATTATATTGTAATGGGTTGTAAGTCATTGAATTAAGTATAAAAGGCCCTAACTAAAAAGTTCATGCCACGGAAAACGTTTGTACATCATTTAGGAAGCAATACTACATTTGGTAAGTGTACTACAATTGGAGAACCTCTGCCAAAAGTGCACAAGTGATTCCTTAATCTAATTTTGCAAGACCACTGTTGTTCAATTCACAGCAATAAGAAAGTACGATAAACTGACTTTTCTTGCAAAGTTAGTGAGTAGTAGTTCTTGTATACCTACTTGATATAGTATGCAAGAATCTCTCATAGGAGAACAATGAACTAAATATTTAATGATTCGATGGCTGTTTCCAGGTTGCAGAGAGCATGAGCAACATAGAGACAGTTGTGAAGGAGAGGAACAAGGCCTACATGATGCTGGAGACGGGAGAGACAGGAGACAGACCTGGGGGCAAAGTTAAAGATATTTACGGTGAGTGCCACACATCTTGTTAAAACTTTCTATCAGGGTGTCTACAAGCTTTAAATCTTTCATTCTAAGTGTACAATTTCTTGATCAATCAAGAGTTCCCTTAATGATAACTTAAAGCACTATTCTATTAGTGCTTTAATTAACGTGGTACCTATCTAGAGTAAACATTGAAACTCTGGAATTATTTTCATGTAACAGGTCAGACAGCTTCGTTCTCTTCCCTTTTTGCTAACTTCACTACAGACTGTCTTTTGCTCTATTTGCTTCACACAGCCTTATGTTGTCTTCTCTGCAGACAGCCTTATTTGACTTCCCTGCAGACAGCCTTTTGCTGTCTTCTCTGCAGACAGTCTTTTGCTGTCTTCTCTGCAGACAGTCTTTTGCTGTCTTCTCTGCAGACAGCCTTTTGCTGTCTTCTCTGCAGACAGCCTTTTGTTGTCTTCTCTGCCGACAGTCTTTTGCTGTCTTCTCTGCAGACAGCCTTTTGCTGTTTTCTCTGCAGACAGCCTTTTGTTGTCTTCTCTGCAGACAGTCTTTTGCTGTCTTCTCTGCAGACAGCCTTTTGTCTTTTGCTGTTTTCTCTGCAGACAGCCTTTTGTTGTCTTCTCTGCAGACAGCCTTTTGCTGTTTTCTCTGCAGACAGCCTTTTGTTGTCTTCTCTACAGACAGCCTTTTGCTGTTTTCTCTGCAGACAGCCTTTTGTTGTCTTCTCTGCAGACTGCCTTTTGTTGTCTTCTTTGCAGACTGCCTTTTGTTGTCTTCTCTGCAGACAGCCTTTTGCAAACTTCTCTGAGACCACCTTTTGAGGACTTCTCTGAGACCACCTTTTGAGGACTTCTCTGCAGAGTCTTTTTCAGACTTCTATTCAGACAGTCGATTGCAGAGTTCTTTGGCAGAGTAATCGGCTTCACAGAAGACAGTGAACTGACCTTGAAAATTTAGACTCTCGTAGACCGAGTAAACAATTATAACTTCATCTCATGTTAAACATCTCATGGAGTTGGCATAAAGTTGGCTCTTTCTTACAGGTCGTTTTGAGTATCGGGACTTCCAAGAGTGCCACGTGCCTGAAGAACTGAACCCCGTGTACGAGAAGTACCACTACATCCCACACCCGGAGCTGGACCGCCTCAACCTCCTCTACTCGGAAAAACTTCGACGAGAGGAAACTTACAGGAAAAAGTAACAAATTCTTATGCGTTTTGTTTGTGAATTAATGAGGTTATGCTGTAGAGAAGTAAACTCTTGTGGTGTGAGTGTAATTTTGCACATTTTCTGACAAATATTTGATCAGTTATTGAAATGTAATTTAAGTAATCTGTATTCTGTATGTAGGATAAAATAGCCCCTCAAGTTATTTGGAGTACTCACGATTACTTATTGTGATTATGAGCTTCTACCTTTTTTTCGTCTCAATGGAAACATTTTCATAATCATCTCACCTATCCGTATTAAGAGATCAATATTCCGTCGCTTTGCTTGCAGTGAGAAACGACGGTACCTGCAGCGGCTGTTCCAGAAGTTCCCGAACATGGACGTGGAGATGCTAAAGGAACGATACCCAGACATCGATATCGAAGAGATCCGGGACAGCCCCCGGTCTATTGGCCATCACGACAACAACAGAGCGTGATGTGTCATCTAGCTGGCGTTACAGAGTGTGACGTGTCATCTAGCTGGCGTTACAGAGCGTGACGTGTCATCTAGCTGGCGTTACAGAGCGTGACGTGTCATCTAGCTGACGTTAAAGAGCGTGACGTTTCATCTAGCTGGCGTTACAGAGTTTGACGTGTCATCTAGCTGGCGTTACAGAGCGTGATGTGTCATCTAGCTGGCGTTACAGAGCGTGACGTATCATCTAGCTGGCGTTACAGAGCGTGACGTGTCATCTAGCTGGCGTTACAGAGTGTGACGTATCATCTAGCTGGCGTTACAGAGTGTGACGTGTCATTTAGCTGCTTAAAGTTAAATTTTTTCTTTCAAAGAATCCATTTCACCCTCTCATAAATAAATTGCAACCCTCACTTATCATGATGACATCATGTACTTGGGCTGCTGCTTCATCTTACCCGCTGTTGATGTGATTGGGAAATGTAGTTACTGTAAATAAAATGGACAACTGAAGTGTCTTGCATTAAATTATTTCCTCACGTATTCGAAGAACTAATGCATACTTGTCATATGATAATCTTGAGTCAAGGTATCACACTGCTTGCTCACTCCCGCGGTCGATGTAACTGCCTCGGGGGGATGTCAGGAGACATCTAAGGGATCTTCAGCAAACCCTGGGCCTCCCCTGCGTTGCTAAATTCAAAATTACTTCTTTGAAGTCTTGAAAAGTTTATTGTTTTGTGTTAATAATAATAATAATAATAGCGGTTTCAGCGTTTATTAGGCCGTAGGCCTGTCGCCGATTCTTAACGTTGCAGAACATCCACAGTTTGTTGCAGTCTCGAACTCATTAATGGTTTCTCACGCGACAAAGCTAAATTTCGTCGCCAAGGTTATAGTTACAAATGCTTGTTGCCGAGAGATCGCGGTTACAAAAGTTAATAGCCACAAGGGTACGGTTAAAAAAGTAAGGCGCAACGAGGTTACAGTTAGATAAGTTTGTCTCCATGAGGTTTTGTACGGTTAAAAAAAATTTTCATCCTTATTATGGGCTTTTCACAACCGATGTAAAAGAATGTTACCATAAAATAGCAGATATAGAGAAGTTACAAACTTATAGATGATTTCTGGGTGGAGGTGTAGATGAAAGTTTTCTGTATAAAAAGGCTACATGATCAATCGTCTGTTACGGAAAGATCGGGTTTCGTAGGCCGGATCCCTTGTGAATCAAGTCACGAAAAGTACAAGAATCGGCAACAGGCCATGGGTCTATTGCTTCAGTGCCGACACTTCTATTCTATGAAGTGTTTTCATTACTTAGAAACTCGTGCTCTCTTTTTAACTCTGCAACTAATACTAATAAGGAAAAATATCGTATTATTACGTTAGTAGAAACAATTCGGGGTGCTTACAAATTTTGTCTGTGGAGAGCGCTATATTGCCTCGCCTACAATTTTTTACGTGACTTATAAAAAAAAGACACACTTGACACTGCCCCTTTCAAGCATTTGTTTTCGAAATGCGCCTCCATGTTTATAGACACTTTAAATTTGGCTTACAAGCACGGAGTTTCAATTGAGCTATTTCGCATTTGCTGTGACGATAACATCGATGAAAGCTACCATCGCTGAGCCCTGCGGCCTGTCTGCCCAAGACGTAACTGGCGGTTAAGAAAAACGGGACATTTTGACGCGGGAATCGCTGCACAAATTCTCGACTTCTTCAGAGAACAGAGTTTTTCATCTGCCAGCTTCATTGTCGGCGTAGCAGCCGACGAAATGAACAACTTCGAGGGCAACGACTTGCCGCCTTGTTCGGGCTTCTCCGCCGCCCCCGGGCCAGCGTTGCAGGTACCGACCCAAATTAAGTAAAAGCTATACCGGTACTGAACTTTAATAGTAGGAGCCGCCAGAATTTTGAAGTCGTCCTAAAAACTTGACATTATAAACGATTATTGGCCCATGCTAGACTGTATACATTATTGATGAGCGGAACGAAGACTTATTTTAGTACTACCGGTACGATAGGATGAAACAATTAATAAAACGAACAATTACGATATATAACTTCGTCGTCCATACGCATAAACTTACTTCCGGACCAGCATTTCTGCTAAAATCTTAGATTTTCACGGTGCCTGCATCGATGCCAAATTTGGCTCGTGATAGTTTATATCTTTTAAGAAAGTATTAGCATTTTTATTGGAGACTCGAGGCTTGGCTCTATCTTGTGCAGGGCTTTAAAAAAAGCATATAATATTAGCATGTAAGGCACCCATTACTGGGAAGTAATATTTTATATCCAGTGTGTTGACTGAAGGCAAGACTATAACCATAGCCTAAAAATTCTTAAAGAAGCAATTGTCTTTCTCTGAATTGTAAACTTTGCGCAGGCTGAGGCCGCGGCCGCGCGTGCGCCGCAGCAGACCGGGCGACGGAAGAAGAAGAAACAGCAGCAGCGCGGCGGCCGAGGGGGCCGTGAGCCGTGAAGTGAGAGGCAAGGGAGTGTGGTAAATGAGGCAGGGAGCCGTGAAGTGAGAGGCAAGAGAGTGTAGTAAATGAGGCATCGTGAAGTGAGAGGCAATGGGGTTAGGTACGTTGACACCGCCATCACTATTACTAAAACTTTCCAGCGGGTTCAAAATCTCGTTACAGTTATGTGCTAATCGAACCCTGCAAATCGTTGTTCTGACCAGTACATTGACTAGGCGCAAAGTAAGTGCAGTATCTGCTGTATTGAGACTCACGTGTCATTGACTATGCATTAAATATGTTGAGCCTAACTGGTACACTAAAAGCTATGAAATCCAGCATAATATTAAGTTATTTATGATATGCCTAAATATCTGAAGCCTACAGGTGGCCGAGGAGGCGGGAGCAGTTCAGCGGGACTGTGGCCGGACGACAGGCAGCAGACGATGACTACGGCAGACGACACCGCACAGCTCTATGGTCAGTACTTTGGTCCAGCTGGGGTGCCTGATGTAGATGGGGTCCAGCTGTGGTGCCTGGTGTTGATGCGGTCCAGCTGTGGTGCCTGATGTAGAAGTGGTCCAGCTGTGGTGCCTGGTGTTGATTTGGTCCAGTTGTGGTACCTGGTGTAGAAGTGGTCCAGCTGTGGTGCCTGGTGTTGATGTGGCCCAGCTTGTGGTGCCTGGTGTAGACTAGAAGTAGTCCAGCTGTGGTGCCTGGTGTTAATGTTGTCCAGCTGTGATGTTTTCGGAAGACATTAATTTCTTTATTTAACTGATAATATTGAACTCTTTCATTAGTATTATTTACGTCATTACTCGAAGAAATTGCTTGGTTTATTAAGGTTTTTTATGAATTGAATAACATAAACTACGCATGTTTGTGGTACGATTCGAACATTTGATTGTGGGCAGAAAGCAAGAGTGCAGCACGCGAGCAAGAGGAGCAGCAACAGCAGCTCACAGCCTCGCTCATGGCACAGATACTTGATCAAAAGAAAATGGTGAGTGTCTACAGAAACGAGTGAATCATCACGCTAAGATATAGAGATAAACTAACAGTTCATCATAGACTCCTGCGTTTGGTATTTTTTTTAATCCGAGACGAGACGAGACGAGACAACAGGCTCTGTCCCGGTTCGCAATAAAAACCGGGACAATTTTCAGCTGTGAACGAGGAACATCGTTCACTAATTCATTCAATGTGCATTTTCTTGTGACGAAATTATTCTATTACGTCTGGCGAAGTCGCGCCAGTGACATGTGAGTCAGACCTATAGCAGTTGGAACTGTCTAGTACTAGGTCAGGTCTGAGCGTCTGTGCGTCAAGTAGGCAGTCGTGTCCCGCCAGCCCTATAGTGAGGTTCATACCTGAACCCGCTCAGCTGTGTTAACTCTCAGCATTCTTTGCTTTAGCGCTGGAGTTGTGGCTGTGCCGTGACTATTTAGTCTTGCCTACTATCGTTCGCCTATGTGATTTAATGTAACCTGAACTACGTGCATTAATGCTGTGCAATAGTAAATGGAATTGAACCAATTTGAACGTCTCTTAGAATAGTCATTTTAGTCGGAATTTGTGCTTCCCTTTACCATGTTTTACTGATTTTAAACAAAGTGATTCAATAAACTATTTTAAGTGTGTTTTGTCGTGATTAAAATCCATAGCCACTGAACCGACTTAACTGACGATGACTAGGAGAGTTGAACGGCATTGTAGGTTAGATGAATGAGCACAGTTGCCTGGAAATTTATTCATATATTGTCCTGGCCTATGAGCGGTGAGCATTCGATCCTGATAGTGAATTACAGGCCTAACGTTTAGGTTGGCTTGTAGTAGCTCTGGCCGGTGACACAGCCTTCCGTTGGAATTCCGGGACGATACCGAGACGAGACGAGACGTCCCGGTTAAAATAGGTACCTTAAAATTTCCCGGAATTTACAGCCATTTTAACGAGACTAATCAATTATTGATGTGGTATAAACTTTGGCTTACCGTCATACATTTATACCTGTCTCTTATACACATCTAGATGTGTATAAGAGACAGCTACATGGCAGTGGAAAAGTGAAGTGTAAATTCAAAAATATTCTTATTTCTATAAAAATATTATTCAAAGTCGTTCTTTGACAATATTTTCGCCCAATAAACTGATAATCTCCCTCATTATAGCATTTATCAGTTTCGCCTGATAAAATATAGACAAAGAGAGACGTTAGTGAAGATATCTCGTGCGCTTTAGCAGCGCCGGCACGCCTGCCGCCATCAGAATATGCCACTGGNGTCTCGTCCCGGTTCATAATTTACCGGGACACAAGTTTTAAAGTCCGGGACAGAAGTCTTGTCTCGGTTCATACGTTTATTCCGGGACAAATTTTACCCTCTGTCCCGTTATTTTTTTCCCGGAATTTTCTCGTCTCGTTTCGTCTGTCCCGGTTCATTTCGAGAAAATTATTTCGAGACGCAGGAGTCTAGTCACTTCATCACGCATCATAAGACTGGAAGTTAACCCTCTGCCGCCTGACATGTGTAACCGGAGCAATATTGTCACAAGCCTACTTCCCAAAAAGGATATGTTCTAGTGAGCGCAAAATGACCTGGACTGTTGGTGCCGCCACGTACGCCAACTATAAAATGTTCTCGGTTGCGTACAAACGTCCTCAGGTTGTTACATTCAATAGTTGACGCATAATTTGAGTTGAAAGTTATGTTCCCGGAGAGTGACATACGGCGGTAGAGGGTTAAGTATTCGAGACATCTCCTCTTTTACATACATGCGGAGTCACCAGAGACTGGCATCCTCTTCAGACGATTGGGTTGTGATACATGACGTTATAGAGCGTGACGTATCATCTAGCTGGCGTTAGAGCGTAACATATCATCTAGACGCGTTACAGAGCGTGACGTCATCTAGCTGGCGTTACAGTCTACAGAGCTAGATGGCGTTATCTCATTAGAGACAATTCCCAGCCGACATTATTGTTAAGTTGAGATTGATCTTCCAATTTCCAGCCCGCTTTATTGTTACATTGACATTGATTTTTCTAATAATAATGTTGCTTCATCGTGCGGTTGTCTACAGGAGTTGCTGAAGAGTCCTACAATACGGCAGTTCATTGAACTCAAGCAGCAGCAGATGAAGCCATGACCAGAAAGCGTCGCGGGGGGCGTGTGAGGAGATCAGAAAAATGTAAACATCAATACTTTTATTATTTGTATTCTTAGTATACATAGGTTAGGTATTAAAGTGTAACTACCAACATTTTTTGACGGAGAAATACGAAGGCACAAAAGTTATTTCTTTGGCACTAGTTTTCCAGCATTAATGGTTAAAATAAATTTGTAATTAAGCATAAGTAAAGCCAACGGCTGCACAGAAGTAATTAGTCGCAGTTAGGAAGACACATATTACATTAAGAATTGACTTATTTATCTCGCTTAGATAGATTCAAATTTTCAGTCTTCATTCAAACGGAATTATAAAATAAATTTTGAACTGCTACACGAAGTGAACAATTCGACGCCGTCTTACTTCCGGCACTAAACAACTATTCGTTCGTGGTTAGCTTTAATAAACTTAAGTGGTATGGTAAATAGATTTCCTTATGGACAATTGTTAATTTACACGCTTGACTGTGGAGGACGGACGACGTGTGATCTGCTCACGCCAGGTTCTTGTACTTTGAGAAGAGGTTGTACAGCACCCGCAACGTCGACTTCAGGTCCTTGTTCACGATGTCTGCAAACAAATTTTCGATTAAGCCTATTGGCTTTACTTTTGAAATATGGTGCTAGCATTAGAGAATATGCGTTCACCAAATATCACGTGTGGTTTTAGACTACCAAGAAGAAACAGCAAAAAACTCGGAGTATCTCCTAAAATGTCACAATTATAGTTTTGTCAATAAGAACCTATGCAAGTGTGGTATGCTAATCTTTGCAAAGAGCCAGAGAATTTTCTACGTGGCTACTCACCCTATAAAGTTGCCCCCGTTCTGCAATTTACTGCTTCCAAAAAAGAAGCTATTGAACATAATTCAACTTCACCTAATTCAGCATGATACCAATTTTATTAATGTTGTTCCCATCATTATTTTTACCAGTACACAATTATCTATAAATGGGCTATATTACCCGCAAAAACTAGCGACAAACCTCCGGTTTTGAAGCCACAGGCATAGTTCATGCAAGTACGAGACCCGGCAACCTACCTTCCGGTCGCGCATTGGGTCATTCCAGCCCCAGCAACCCACCTTCAGGTCTGTCCAGCCCCGATAGCACATCTTCAGATCTGGTCTTGGGTCTATCCAGCCTTAACACCCACCCACCTTCAGGTCTGGCCTTTGGTCTGTCCAGCCCCGCGTCCATCATTAGCTCAAAGGCGGCATTGACGTTGTGTAGCTTCTCGTCGAAGGTCTGACGATAAAAGGCGTGTAATTGAAAAATTCTCTTAGAATTTTTAAGATATCGGACACATTTCTAGCGAGCATCTTACAGCACTTACGTTTTAAGAAAGACGTAAAACATGTAAATCTACGAGTTTGCAATTTGATTAGCAACATCTATATTGCAGCACTTCCAAGAAAATATCATGGTATGCACTTACTAAATAATAATGCGTACTACCGGCCAATTGCGACTAAATAGTTTTTTGTGTAGCCTCCTAAGATTACCAATATTTTTGGGGCTATCCCTATAAGATATTTATTACTAACAACCTGGATTTTTTATAACGTATGTCCTCAATATAACTTGTATTCCATATTGTCTGTGGAAACCGGAATGTTCATCATCAAAATTTTCTTCTTCATTGAATATACATTGGAAATTTCTGGTTTTATTACTTGAACTAATGTAGTACCGGTACCGGTATCTAATTTAAATATTTGCTTAGAAGGGCAGTAGTAAGTGGTCTGTTAGAGTGTAGCCCACCTGGGGAGTGCTGTAGATGTGGTAGAGCGGGACAAAGTAACCCTCGAGCAGCCCCATGAGGAGGCACAAGTGACACCCATCGTGGAACTCGGTCTCAATCTCTTGCACTTCAAGGTTGATGCGGTTCAGCTGTCGGTTCACGAACGTAACCAAGCTCTGCACGAGGACATCAGATTAGGCCAGATATGTGAACAGAGTTCAGTTGTCCCGTGACACAATTAGCCGTTTGATCCGATGAACGAACTTGGCCTTTGGTTTACAAAGGCCATAATGTTGGCCTTTGGTTTACAAAGGCCATAATGTTGGCCTTTGGTTTACAAAGGTTTGTACTATCCCAGACTCAAGTATTGCAGAGTTAATTAATTATTTGGAGGCAGCAAGGTCGGCTGCTCACCTTCTTGACAACGTCGAGCTTGTCAGGAGCCTGGTCCAGAAGAGCATCGAAAGCGTCTCTCTCATGACGCAGTCCGAGGTCATCGTATACACCTGGGGGTAACCGTCATAATATCCCTTTAGTATAAATAATACCTGATGACATTTTTCCTTAACTTACAACTCACTCGGCAACTCTCTGAGCAAGTAATGGAGGCAATCAGAACTTGTGAATGAAGAAGGTGATAAATAAAGCTAATGGTTAGTAGACAGTATGAACTAACAAATTATTTGCAACTAATCCACTGCTGAGTATTGATGGAGCAAAATATGCTCTAGTTTCAGCGCACCAGTCGGCATGCTGGAATAAGTGATATGTCTTTCGCACCAGTCAAAATGAATGGCATTTAGGTGGCTGGTATATGTGAAGAGTTAACTCGCCAGAAAAAAAATGATATTCAGCCTGCCGGAATAAGTGATAAGCAAGCGCACCAGCAGAAAAGGATGGCATTTAATAGCTGGAGTAACTGAGAAGCGAGCGCACCAGCAGAAAAGGATGGCATTTAGTCAGCAGGAATAAGTGACGAGTGAGCGCACCCGTGAGCTTCTCGTTGACGCGTCTGTGGTTGAGGATGCCGTCACGCATCTGGACGATGATGACGTCGATGACGACGTTGTCTGGCAGCCTGATGGGGGCTCTGAAGTGACGCACTAGCGCCACCAGCAGGTGCAGGATGGCCACCAGATTCTTGCTGTGGATGCTCTCCACGCTCCACTTAGGCTGGTACTGCTGCACTCCACCCACGCCCAGGATCTGCACAAATTCGTTCAGCAATAATCAAACATTTGTGATGACACAATAAGATAGTTTAAATCTCAGGAATTCAGGATAAAGCCTTCAACAGCAGTCATTTTATTTTGAGGTTAGGATGCAATTCCCAAATAGGCATAACGCACTATCATCTATTAGCATGCCGAGCGCATCACACCAATTAAAGAGTTTTGGAGCATTTTCAATTCAATGATGGGATTACCTGTTTGAAAATCATAATATTAGTTAGCCGTTTGATGAACAATGGCATAGTTTGACTATCAATGTAAAGTTATAATAGGAATTGACGCGCAGCTCATCAGGTCAAACATAGTGTAGGTACGCATAAAAAAATATAAAACGAGTATCGGTGACACATGAAAGCTCCACTGAAACAAAATCATTATAGTGCATTATGTTTCAGTAATCCTCATAATAGTAACATGAAAGGTAGGTAGCAGTTTCCTGCATGATACGTGAGAGATAAACAAAGTTTCCGTTATAGAAAAATGAAGACTAAACTTGACATGATTCTTCTCATGAATTCAATGGGGAACTGAGATCTGATTTGTTTTGAAAATAAGTTTGAAAGTGGACATGATCTTCCTCATAAATTTCTGGAGAGAACTGAGAGAAACTTTACAGGTATATGAGAAATTAGGTTGTGACAAGATTTTTCTAAGAACCTCATGGCGAACCGAGATTAGATTAGTATTGAAAATAATGTTGCAAGTGCCAATGAAACTTGGCTGACATGATTGGCAGCTCGCAGCACGCGTTGCAGCTTCTGGCGCTGCCCCTCCTCACTGAGCGTCACCTCAGGCACGTTGTCCAGTGTGATCCCCGTCAGCCGCTCTGCACACAAGCAACATCAATGCAGGACACATAACAATGAGGCATATTGGTGAAGCCTAACTATTAATCGGAATAAAAGAAGCTTACGTCTTACTGGCAGCACTTTGAGTGGGGAAATTATAATGAAGGGATAATAAGGTAACATTACGGCTCACCAAGACTATCAAGGAAGACCATATTAAACTTTAATTATGAAGTCCCTTATATAGTATATATACAGTGGGGGGAAATAAATATTCGTACACTTGAAAAATCGTATTTTAATGTATGTAAGTACACAAACTTAACAGGAAAAGTGATTTAAATTATGTATAGAGACGCATAGTATTCAAAAATACTAATAAAAGAAATTAAATCTCAATGCAACAAAAAACAATGTAACATGTTCACTTTTCGGGCGAAAAAAGTATTCGTACAAAACAATAAATCCGCATTATTTTAATTTAATACTTGGTTGAATACCCTTTATTCAGCTCAACAGATACCAGTCTATTTCTATACGTCTCGACCAATGATTTGCAGATGCTGACTGGTATTTTATACCATTCTTCTTGGCACACCACCTTAAGATTCTCAATGTATGTTGGGGACCTTTTCCTAATTTGAATCTTCAAATACCGCCACAAATTTTCAATCGGATTTAAGTCCGGCGACTGGCTTGGCCATTCCATAACGTGTACATTTCTATCAGCGAACCATTTCTTCGTGGATCTTGCAGTATGCTTAGGATCGTTATCCTGCTGGAAAATCCAATCACCAGGTAGCTCTAGTTTCTCAACAGAAGTCTAAATTAAAATAATGCGGATTTATTGTTTTGTACGAATAATTTTTTCACCCGAAAAGTGAACATGTTGCATTGTTTTTTGTTGCATTGAGATTTAATTGCTTTTGATAGTATTTTTGAATACTATGCGTCTCTATACATAATTTAAATCACTTTTCCTGTTAAGTTTGTGTACTTACATACATTAAAATACGATTTTTCAAGTGTACGAATATTTATTTCCCCCCACTGTATATTGTAAGTCAACAAGCTCTCATGAGAGGCTCTAAATGACAAGATATAGTGAGTGTTCATAAAACTATAAATTTGTACGATTGAATAGAAATCACGCTAGTATTCAAATGGGTAATATTTGATATACAAGCAGCAAGTAACCCACAATAACTTAGCAATGGCATCGCACTAGGAGAACCCACACTTAGGAAGCCTTAAGATGAACCCGTCTGTGAGTTTGGCTTGCTTGTCTGCATTGAAACCTACTAGTCAGACCTTCCAATGTCCATAACAAACTACGTTAAATACCTATATTCGAATACCATTACAAAACAATGAAAACATACACGTATCTAGGTAAAAAATATATATAATAGCCAGGTGCATGCTGGTTTTGCAGGCATTGCCTAATGCTGCTAGCACGGCTGCAATTTTAGGGAGAGTTCTTGCCCTACCCAAGCTAAGCTGAACTATCAGCAAGATATGAGCCAGTATATTCGTATGCATACAATATTTCTTGTTCCTTCTATGTAATGTCCTGACAAGATCAAAAATATGTTCAAGATTCTTTCAATATTCTTGCACAACTATGCTGCCCACACCAGCAGTCTATTGTTATTGAGATGAATTAAATTATGGTCCTAATTTTGTATTTTTTATTCTACATGTTGATAATAATCATGTAGCTATATACTTAATAAAAATTAATTAGTTTGCTACCTGATAGCAGATAACTTGCATTCTTCTGCTATTAATAGAATGATGAGAATAGTTAAGTTTGACACCATGAAACTCAGAAAATAACAGTCAAACAAGGTTAAAATCAATCATTACAAACTAGCAATAAGACAAGTAGGTACCTTAACAATAAAAACGATCTATACCAGCCAGAAATAAGAACTAAAACCCTTTGTATCTCACCAATGAGTTTATGAAGAACACAGCCATCATACAAATCCTCCTCCATGTCTCTGACAATGATTCTGTCAGGAGCGAGAACATCATTGAGCCATTCAAGCAGCACCTCCACTAGTTGGATCAGTCGAGGATTGGTGTTGGATCCTGGAGCAATCATGGAGCGCTCCTCATTGTCCTCTGGAACATTCGTGGTAAATTTTAACCATTTGAAATCTGCAGCGGTAAATTTTAACCATCATTTGAAATCTGCATGACCATTTTTTAACATGATCAATACCTGCAGGCAATGTTATAGAACTCTAACCATTTACTGGAAACATTTCTGATAATGGAATGAAGGAGTAAATATAGTAAGAAATATGTACATATTTCTTACATTTCAGCCAGTACATAGTACTGGCTAAAAAAGTTGTCAGATGAAAAAGACATGTTTGAGTCATGACTAGAAGTGCCTGTTATGGAATATTTGTTGTAGTTCAGTCAAAACCAGGAATCAAATAGTATTAACTATGTGTTAGAATAAAGATAAATGTATATTTACTAGAGCTAAGGCAGTAGGTGCCAGCAATAGGGCATTTCTCTCAGGCTTGCCCACAAGTACAAGGCATGAAACATTAATTGTGTTATTGTGATACTACATAATGCTTAATACACAAGGTTTGAACAATTCAACTTTGATGTAACATGCATGATAGCCATTTCATTTGGTGCAAACAATGGTGGAGATGATATATACCTACATAGCAGATATTTAATGCTGTTCATGAATGAAATAAAAAATGTTAGCTTTTGTTATCACAATAAATTGTACTAAAATTCAAATAAAAGTCTAGTATACAAATTATATCTTGTACAGCTAAGATTTGAATTACTTTTCTTCCAATGCAACAATAATTCTCTGAAATATTCTAGCTCAATTAAATATAGGTATGTAAATGCAATAGCTACCTTCATAATAAGGAGGAGAAAGACTGCATAATTTATAGTAGTTGTATTTATAAAAAAAATAATTGACGTAAGCAAAGAATATCAACAAAATACATACGGAGTCCATAATCTTCAGTAGGCATGTTGGGCATGAAGGGAGCCCCAGGTGAGTCAATGGCATGCTTGCCTTCAGTGACCACTTCATTCACTGCAACATCAAGAACACATCAGGTCAGGTTTATCACAACAGAAAATTTGTTATTCAGGAGCCACAGATAGAGATAGGTATATGGGCAACAATAGAGTTTTTATTTGTCATTTAATGAATTCATAATTTTCTGATCCACTTCAAGGTTTTATTCTAAATCTTTTATATGAGAGTGCTGGAACCTGTAATGTAAATTATTTCTCTGCTTGACTATAACTAGCAAGGATAAAAGCATTAGGGCAAGTGTGCAACTAGAATAGAAATTGAAGAATTTGAAAGTATGTCAACAACAATACATTGTCCCAAACTTGAATAATCTGAACAAACATCTTGAATTATCTGAATTCTGTCAGGAAATCTGAATTCATATCAATAATAAAATTAATACAGTATGTATATAAAAACTATATATATATATATACTTACAGTAAAAGCTGACACCAATCTTAGACTAAGATTTGAGCCCTTTGTAAAACTTAAAAAATTAATATGGTATCATCAAGATTGACCATTGAAGATAGATTCTATTCAATTCTAGAATTCATTGCAGCCCCCACTCCCACTGAGATTCCATATTATTTCCATGTAATTAATTTTCCAAATTGGGTAGAAATCATAGAATCTGAGTTGGGCTGGTACATGCAGAGTAGGAGAATTCTAAAATATGATGAATAAATACAGACAGGCATGAGGCATGTATGATGTAGTACAGTAGACTGAGTAGAGTACACAAATACATCGGAAAAAATTATGAAAGCATTTTACATTTTAATACACCAAGAATTTTCTGAGGATTTTACTCAAGTAGGTACCTAAGTAAACAACATAAGGTCGTCTTAAATCGAAACCGTATCAATGAGCGCTACTAGTCTAGGCTACTACGTACTACCTACTGGTAACCAATAATTACCAATTAAAACCGTAACGACTAATTAAGCGATCTTATTCGTAAATCGTAGTAGCAATTAATCACCTTCTTTGACTTTCTTTTTCCGTCCCAAAGTTCCAAGTTTGTCCCAAAAGCTTTCGTTGCTTGCTTCTTCTTTTTTCGGCGAAAAAGGACTTTTTGGGCGTGTTGTAGTCATGGTTGTGAGCCCAACTGTAACAAATACGAAATTTATACCGACTTATATGTACAGTTTTTTGTACACGCAGCGCACTGCCTACAGCCTACAGGTGAACGGGCTAGTAGACACCAATTCTGGCATTGACACCACGGTATGTGGAGGCGAAGTGGAGGCGGTGAGTACTATGGAGGTGTGGCACACCACAACACAAGCCAAAGAAAACCTGAAAATTTTGATCGGTAACTGAACTCTAACAACTGGTTCATAATATAAAAATATTTTGAGGTATTGAATTGATGTAAGAAGGTTTTAAGAAGTAGGTCCTTTAAAAAAAAATTTCCCCAAATTCACATTATTTAACAGGAAAAATAGTTTGATTCCAATCCTGCTTATGAAAATAAACAGGAGTAAATTTTATTCATTCTTTCTGCAAATGATTCATAAATGAAACATATTCGAGATATTTTTTAAAGGCAATGACCCTGAGAAATTGTTAATGAGCAGCTTACCTGAGGTTTCTTCCTCGCAGCCCAGTGAGCCCACTAGGTCGTCGGACACCCCAAGTTCTATAGGCGGAGACACAACAATGACGGGACTTGGGCTTTCCTGTTCCTCGAACGACAACGGTCCTTTTTCTTCGCTGGGACTTTCAAGACATTCCTGCATACGTTGACCTGCATGGCCAAACCTTTTTGAAAATAGCACAGAGATTGTATTTTTGACTATTCCTGTTGGCATGCACTAAGCAACAAAAACAAAGTAAGGCATCAAATTTTTTAAAGCAACTTGTAATGTAAAGAAGCACCAAGGCTTTCTGAATCAACATTTCCTCAACCTTTCTGAACTCAATTGACAATGAAATTTCCTGCAATCTTATCTATCTAAATACGAGATTCATAAGTGGCACACTATAGGACTAAAATAATATGAGAGATCCTTCTACATGCGATCGCTAATCAATCGCGATTGATTAGCGATTGATAAACAACGTGACAATGGCCAATCCAAACTCTATATTGATGTACATTTCTCAGCATGGAAACACAATAATAATTTAGCACGTATACAGGGCTGTCGGTGCTCGTGTAAACGAAACTAAAATGTTCGTGGTGTCTATTCCGGCGACAGGCCTATCCGGGCCTATTCTTCAATGCCGAAAATACTATACCTACTATACTTTACTATTTGCCCTCACCGCGATTCGCAGCCTCCAGGACCATGACTCGTTTAGGGACAACGTTGATGATGCAGGGGGGCGGCGGGGACGGGCTGGGACTAACCGACGCAGGCGACGAGGGGAATGGAGATGGAGAACCTTGTAAAACACATACACAGATCTTTTAACATTCGTTGTACTATTTTAAGTGATTGGAGAACGATAATATATGAGTTTCACACCTATTTTGAGACAGAAATGAAGTGTTTCCCGTATGAACTAGTCTTGGAAGTGTTTCCTGTGTTTAAACAGCTCTTCACACAACACTTTTTCTTCAAAAATTGATTGAAGATTCTTAAATCTTAGGTATTTCTATCCCGAGCATCGCCTCGTAAATCAGCTTGTACTTGATAGTACAAAGTAGAATTTATTAGCACTCACTACTACTTATTAGTACTCAATAATACTTATTATTACTTGATAGTCCGTAGTAGTACTTGGTTAATCACTCACATGATGCTCTAGACGCGGGGGAAGGGCCCCGCGACGAAGGCGTTTTCAGAATGGACCTCCTGAAGGTGGAAGCATCGTTTGCTGCATGAGACGTCATGGCTGTACAGGGGTCTGTCCAAGCAGATATAATTAATGAAAGTATATTCTGCAAAAGAAACTAATAACTGACTAAAAAAGATAACAAATATAGAAACACTTAATTATTACCACGAATAAAGGGGTGACAATATTAGTTTTGTGACACTTCTGAGCATATCGTTTCATAACAAGCTCACATAGCGGTAATGGAAGGGGTAAAACAGTTCCAGTTTATACATTATAATATGAGTCACAGCTAGAGAATTTTCCAAATTAATCATGAAATTGCATGATGATAAATCATTACTAATGATTTCAAAATTTCATGAAATGCTGATCTACAAACGGAGAAAATAAGGACAATATTCATGAATGACGGTATGATAACCGATATGTTATCATGGGAAACAGACAAACGCTTTGTTGACAAAAACGTGCAATATGCCTAGAATTATGCAATTAAGAATTGTGCTTTGGTAGTCTGATCAATCTCGCTGAAGAATCCAATTAGTACAGCTTGACAAGTTACTCTTACCGCATCTCTAACAATTCAAGTAAATATCCTGGCTGATTAGTGGAGGTAATGCTGTTGCGAACATGCAACGCAGCATATCTTTGGGAGGACACGCCACGCTACACTGACTCACTGATATCTCATTGAGAGGGCGCTGCACGCTGCACTGACTCACATGATATCTCATTGAGAGGGCGCTGCACGCAGCACTGACTCACTGATATCTCATTGAGAGGGCGCTGCACGCAGCACTGACTCACTGATATCTCATTCTGCACGCTGCACTGACTCACTGATATCTCATTGAGAGGGCGCTGCACGCTGCACTGACTCACTGATATCTCATTAAGAGGGCGCTGCACGCTGCACTGACTCACTGATATCTCATTAAGAGGGTGCTGCACGCTGCACTGACTCACTGATATCTTATTACCGACTCCCGACTCATGGAAGCTTTAAGGTCGCTTTTAGAGTCCGAACTGGCTTTCGTCTCAAGCTCGAATATTAATCCGAATTGGTATCTAAAATTCAAATCCCTGTCAAGCATTTACTCAATTTATTCTAGTGTCATTTAATTTGGAAGTGATTAATTAGAGATATAAAACGAGTTGAAGAAGACATGACATTAAACATTAAGAAGACATGAAGTTAAATACCGATTTTTTTTCAATCTCTTTGTACGAAACGCATGATCCGAATGTTGTGTGCTTGCTATTGACAGGATCAGTTCACCAGCTAGGAGAACGACATCGGGTGTAAGTAACGTATTCTTTAGTTCACTTTGTTTACATAATATGAAATTGTGCACTGTTGGGTTGTAATCGAGTATGTGCCGTCTGCTCTAACTCAATACCAACTCAAAAGTCGACCAAAGCGCTTTTTGAAATCCATCCCTGTTGTTATGAATGTCAATTTATAAACTATAGTTTGCGTCGTTCAGGAACACGTTTAAAAACATTCTGCAACACTATACTTGAAAAATTCCTCGCAGGAACGAATTTGAAGTAAAAAAACATGAGGCACGAGCAGATTTTTTTAGGTATTTCGTGAACAGATTTAATTTGCCGGTGTTTACACAAACGTTACTTGAGTTACCGCGTAACTCCGTCCGTAAGGCCAGTCTAGTCAAGAAAAGTACAAGAATCGGCGACAGGCCTATCCAGGCCTATTTATTTAATGCCGAAGATACTATACTATACTATACTATACTAACTTGAGTTACCGCGTGCCGCCTCAGGGGAGGCTCGAAGCTTTGTGGCAGAAACGCGTGTATCCTGAGCAGCTTATCTCTACAGGATGGGCAGCGATGATGGACAGGATGGCCAGTGATGGTGGACAGGATGGCCAGCGATGGTGGACAGGATGGCCACCGATGGTGGACAGAATGGCCAGCGATGATGGACAGGATGGCCGGCGGTGACGGACAGGATGGCCAGCGATGGTGGACAGGATGGGCAGCGATGGTGGACAGAATGGCCAGCGATGACGGACAGGATGGCCGGTAATGGTGGACAGGATGGCCAGCGATGATGGACAGGATGGCCAGCGATGATGGACAGGATGGCCAGCGATGGTGGACAGGATGGCCAGCGATGGTGGTAGCGATGATGGACAGGATGGCCAGCGATGATGGACAGGATGGCCAGCGATGGTGGACAGAATGGCCAGCGATGATGGACAGGATGGCCAGCGATGGTGGACAGGATGGCCAGCGATGATGGACAGGATGGCTAGCGATGATGGACAGGATGACCAGAGTTGATGGACAGAATGGCCAGGGTTGAGGTTGCAAGTCATACCGATAATGCAAATCTGCGTCAGCGCAAAAGCGACATGCGTCAAGCTGTGCACAAATTACAATGTGAGCTGGGAAGACGCTAAATATTTTTATGTCCTGTGTTAAAAAATTATATGTTCTTGAGGGCTTCTCTGACTGAATGAATAATGTTTACACTCCGCGAATTTTATGCTATGGAGCAATAGTAAAGTCCGAGCCACGTGCTAATCAATTGGTTGGTTTAACTGACTTTGAAATTAGACTCAAGAAAAAAATAATCGCACAACGGGATTTGAATGCGTCAACTCAAACTGTGACTTTTAAATTGCAAAACGTGATACGAACTATGCGGATTATGGATATTGGATCATATTCTCACAATTTGCAGTCCGATATATCGTAATTGTATTAGGAATTAACTGAGAAATGAAGAAAACCAGTGAATGAAGAAATTTGACCGCACCGTGCAAGAAGATGCAGCGTTGCAGGTCAATAAATTGCACTGCTGGTCATGCCAGAGCTGCCACATCAGAGGACCAGGTGGGCGCCGGACATGACAGAGCGTGGCTGTGATGGAGCCACAGCAGATCTCTTTGCTATTTATGTCGTTTACGTTCATTAAATGTAATTAGAAGCGTCATCGCCGAGTGAACTTTATCCTTCAGCCGCAGCTCGGTATCAACTGCTCTCCAAGGAAGGATTGAGATGACCGAGGAATTGCAGGTTTACTACACATTGCAGGTTATAATAGGCAAGAAAATTTAAAAGTTAAGGGACCACTTAGCAGACCACTGAAAAAGGAGCCGTATTTGAACAAAGAAAAGTGAGACTTGGTCCAAATTAGTCCAAGAATTGGCCACTTCACGGCAACGGCTGTGGTTCATCGGTCCGGTGAGCTCTGCAACTCACGTCTGCCGGGTTTGGGGTGTAGCATTTCAGGCGACAGAAGCTCTCGGCGGCGTCCCGAGGGACTTGGAAGAATCCGGTGACGACAACGCTGGGGCTCAGCAGTTGGATACACTGGCACGCAATCAGCATAATATTAGACAGAGTCGCTACTGTGTAGCTGCTGTCAACACTCTTTCATTCACTTGGTCGTATAATAAACGATAGAAGAGTCGTTTGCTCCACAGAATACTAATGAATTAGCGGACAACGAAGGCTCTCTTCCACACCCGCTTCTTCTGCAGCCATCCCAATGAAGTATTTTTGTGTCCGCAGCCCCACAAGTGAATGAGAAGAAGCGCTTCATGACGCTGTTTTTTGCCGACCTCTGTTTCATATGACGGAGGAATCATGTAATTAGGCCCTACGCAATCTCCTCAAGCTGGGTGCTCAACGAGGCTCCTTCATAGCCGGCAATGAAGGAGGCTATGAGAGTAATTTATTCACTTAGACTCATGTGAGTGTATGTGTTTTTACTTGAAATGACTTGCAATTAAGAGGCTCTCACAACATCCGTCCGGGTGCAGCTATAAAAGCTTGATAGAGTGTGCACTTCAGGAAAGTCTATTAATAATATTATAAACTGAAAAAATTGTATTGAATAAACAATGCTGTCAATGCTGCACATTAATACCTGACAATAGATGCTATTAACGAAATAATTTTAAAAATTAATGGACTAATATTAAAATTGGCAAAAATTGAAATGTATAAGACCAAATTATGCATGATACCAATCGGAAAAATGAATCAACGTGAATACAGATGCCGATAACAGACTCGCGGAAATCTAAACAAGTGCAACAGAGCATCAGGATTATGAATATCATGAATTTAGAATTGATATATTAGATATAATCTCCTCACGACGGTTGATGCGGATGAAATGCTCTATAGTAATCTAGGAAAACGTATTGACGTCATAACGAAACGTGCATTCACTGTGCTGATGGTATTTACCTTCAGGCGTTTTATATTCTGTGACATAAAGTTATAATAATCTTCAGCTTCCGTCAGTTATAAAGAACTCATTCAGCTGAATGACGTACAAAGATCCTGAGATGAAGAATAAGAGTCTGTAATGAGGGATGAAGATAATGAGGCATGAGCCGACCATTGAATATTTAAAGTGGAGTTGGTCTTGCCGAAAAAGAAAATAGAAGAAATGCTTAAAAGTGCTAAAGCTCCTGCTGATGAGGGCTGCTCCTGCTGATGAGGGCTGCTCTGCTGATGAGGGTTACTCCTGCTGATGAGGGCTGCTCCTGCTGATGAGGGCTGCTCCTGCTGATGAGGGCTGCTCTGCTGATGAGGGCTGCTGCCGCTGATGAGGGCTGCTCCTGCTGATGAGGGCTGCACCTGTTGATGAGGGCTGGATAGAACCATCTTGTAATTAACTTATCCTTAAGAATCAGATCTTCAACTCCGTTGAACGAAATATTTTTTACTCCTCGGCCGTGCGTAGCTGCGCTTCGTAACGGCGCTCTCGCAACGAAGCGCAAACTTTGATAATTTCTCATAAACTCATAAAAAAAATAAAATAAACAATTTGATGTATGAATCTTTGAGTTACTAGCAAAAGATGCTGCGCCATTGAGAGAATAAATATTTGAACATCATAAATTAATTAATTCCTGAGTTGCAAAAATGTATAGTCTCGATAAACAAATCAGAATAACAATGTACTTGGAATCCTGAAATATTCATCCTACGATATCTCGGCAACAGTTGTGGGCTCTTCGGCGTACACAATGTGTAAATCGGGTGGAAATTTTCTCACGTTTGAACCATTAAATTTCAAACGCACTATAAACAAGCGTTTATTGTGTCTGATGAGTTAGGGAAAACGCTATAAACAAGCGTTCACTGTGTCTGCTGAGTTAGGGAACACTGTAGACAAGCGTTCACTGTGTCTGCTGAGTTAGGGAACACTGTAGACAAGCGTTCACTGTGTCTGCTGAGTTAGGGAAAACGCTATAAACAAGCGTTTACTATGTCTGATGAGTTAGGGAACACTGTAGACAAGCGTTCACTATGTCTGATGAGTTAGGGAAAACGCTATAAACAAGCGTTCATTGTGTCTGATGAGTTAGGGAAAACGCTACAAACAAGCGTTCACTGTGTCTGATGAGTCGGGGAAAACGCTATAAACAAGCGTTCACTGTGTCCGATGAGTTAAGGAAAACGCTATAAACAAGCGTTCACTATGTCTGATGAGTTAGGGAAAACGCTATAAACAAGCGCTCACTATGTCCGATGAGTTAGGGAACACTGTAGACAAGCGTTCACTACGTCTGATGAGTAAAGGGAACACTGTAGACAAGCGTTCACTATGTCTGATGAGTTAGGGAACACTGCTAGACAAGCGTTCACTAAGTCTGATGAGTTAGGGAACATTGTAGACAAGTGTTCACTAAGTCTGATGAGTTAGGGAACATTGTAGACAAGTGTTCACTATGTCTGATGAGTTAGGGAACACTGCTAGACAAGCGTTCACTAAGTCTGATGAGTTAGGGAACATTGTAGACAAGCGTTCACTTATATGTCTGATGAGTTAGGGAAAACGCTATAAACAAGCGTTCACTAAGTCTGATGAGTTAGGGAAAACGCCAAAAACAAGCGTTCACTAAGTCTGATGAGTTAGGGAACACTGTGGACAAGCGTTCACTATGTCTGATGAGTTAGGGAACACTGTAGACAAGCGTTCACTATATGTCTGATGAGTTAGGGAGCACGGTAGACAAGCGTTCACTATATGTCTGATGAGTTAGGGAACACTCTGTATAAACAACGTTCACTATATGTCTGCCATTTAATTAGAGCCAGCTTCGGAAGCGATGCGTACACTGCTGATGCGTACACTGCTGATGCGTACACTGCTGATGCGTACACTGCTGATGCATACACTGCTGATGCGTACACTGCTGATGCGTACACTGCTGCATAATGCAGTGAGCCAGCATGTATGTATTAAAACTGACCTCCGTCACGTTCTTTACACTGACTATATAAGGCGCCGCGAACAATTAAAATATATATACAGTAATACATTAACTTATATCAGCCACTGCAGTTATTTACCGTTGCTCATGTATAGAAGATCGAAACAGGCGTAGGTTGGACTTTTATTTTCAAATTTAAGCAGGTTTACATCGTATTGAAGTTTTTAGCATTATTCGTAAAAAATTCAGATGAGTATAAAATTATATTTTATGTTAAGAATTCTTCAGGGGGCTGAAGCCCTCTATGAAATAGGCCTAGTGACGCCACTACATTAAATCTTCATACAGAAAACCTCGTCCGTGATGACCATTTTGTAACTATGTACTAATCCAAAATGATTTCCTTTCAAAAAGCGTATTCGAATGCTGCCCGCTCGAATCCTTTGTCGAGGCTGCATCCTACAATAAAACTGCAGGTAAATGGCGGTTGGTGTATTTAAAGTGAATGACAACACGGCCTATACAGTGGGGGGAAATAAATATTCGTACACTTGAAAAATCGTATTTTAATGTATGTAAGTACACAAACTTAACAGGAAAAGTGATTTAAATTATGTATAGAGACGCATAGTATTCAAAAATACTATCAAAAGAAATTAAATCTCAATGCAACAAAAAACAATGCAACATGTTCACTTTTCGGGTGAAAAAAGTATTCGTACAAAACAATAAATCCGCATTATTTTAATTTAATACTTGGTTGAATACCTGTCTCTTATACACATCTAGATGTGTATAAGAGACAGCCTCTATACATAATTTAAATCACTTCTCCTGTTCAGTTTGTGTACTTACATACATTAAAATACGATTTTTCAAGTGTACGAATATTTATTTCCCCCCACTGTATATACAGTATACACACGTTACGGTATGCCCATATGGTCGCATGCAGGATATTACACGGCCAGCATGTAGTGGCTGTCGACCTCGATGCCACAAACAGATAAAAGAAAGGGACTTTGTTAAATAACGACTCACTCTTTGCTCTTGTCTGGGTCATCCTGACCCATTTTTACCCAAAGAAAGGACGTATCAGTGCAAATGCAAAAAGTGTGTCATTATTTGGACAATATGACCCGTCATATTAGGCGGTCGTAAGTATATAGGCGGTCTGTCCCGGCTGTCGAATGGTTCTTTTTTCCGCTGCGGATTGAAGTAGCAAATCGAAAGAAGACGAAAAATGAAAATATGAAAGTCCTGGAAGTTATTACCGTCCTATTGAAAACATATCATGTTAATTGAGTCTAAACATCAATTTATTATGAGCAATGGAAGGTCTTATTGATGTATTGTACTATAATATCCAGACAACGACCATGAATTTTGATATATTATTAATTACATGAAGCTGCGGTGAATACAATATCTGTACCCTGGCGCTCAAACGACCATGTTGCTGTTTTTAATTTTAATGTCCTACACATCACTTGCGCTTGACAGTGATGCGTGTCAAACGATGTTCTAGTGAAGTGTTTTTGTTAAAACGCTACCTTAAATTATATACTTCTAAAGTTATATGCTGATTTCAAATATTCAATTTAGATTCAAAATTATATTTAAATTCTAATTTTTCCCGATTGAAAAAGTTAACAAGGTAACATGAAGCCATTATTATAAGAATATATGAACACACACTTGAAGGACCCCATTTGACGATCGAATGACCTGCTGACGCTGATGCGGTACACAAGCAGTTCGTTGACTAATTAGTAATTAATGGCAGTTCGTTGACCAATTACTGGCAGTTAGTTGACTAATTACAAGCACTTCGTTGACTAATTACTAGCAGTTCGTTGACTAATTACTAGCAGTTCGTTGACTAATTATTGGCAGTTAGTTGACTAATTACTAGCAGTTCGTTGACTAATTACTAGCAGTTAGTTGACTAATTACTAGCAGTTCTTTGACTAATTACTAGTAGTTATTTGGCTATAATTACTAGCAGTTCTTTGACTAATTACTAGCAGTTAGTTTACTAATTACTAGCAGTTCTTTGGCTAATTACTAGCAGTTAGTTGACTAATTACTAGCAGTTCTTTGACTAATTAATAGCAGTTAGTTGACTAATTACTAGCAGTTCTTTGACTAATTACTAGCAGTTAGTTTACTAATTACTAGCAGTTCTTTGACTAATTACTAGCAGTTCGTTGACTAATTACTAGCAGTTCGTTAACTAATTACTAGCAGTTAGTTGACTAATTACTAGCAGTTCGTTGACTAATTACTAGCATTTAGTTGACTAATTACTAGTAGTTCTTTGACTAATTACTAGCATTTAGTTGACTAATTACTAGTAGCTCATTGACTAGTTACTATTAGTTTGTGACTAATTACGAGCAGTTCTTTGATTAATTATATACTAGCAGTTTGTTGAATAATTACTAGCAATTTTTTGACTATATAATTACTAGCAATTAATTGACTAATTACTAGCAGTTCGTTGACTTATTACTAGCAGTTCGTTGACTTATTAATTACTAGTAGTTCGCGACTATAATTACTAGCAGTTTAGTTGACTAATTACAAGCAGTTCGTTGACTATATAATTACTAGCAGCTTGTTCCCTATTTTATTAGCAGCCCCTTTATAGTTACTAGCAGCTCGATTTTTCCCTAATTATACTAGCGGTTCGATCCCTAATTACTAGCGGTTCGTTCCCTAATTATACTAGCAGTTCGTTCCCTAATTACTAGCAGCTCGTTGACTAATTACTATCAGGTGGTTAACAACTTGTCAGCAGCTCCTTTATTAATATTTTAGCAGTTCGTTTACAAATGACGTATACTAGCCGTTTGTTGACTAGTATAACAGTTTATTTTGTTATACTAATTACTAGCAGTTCATTGAATAATTACCAGTAGTTCGTTTATTACTTACTAGCAGTTCTTTTACAAATGACTAGCAAATCCTTTTTATTGAAACATATCAGTTCGTTAACTATAATTACTATCAGTTCGTTTACATTGCACGAAGGCTGCTGAGAACATCCCAGCGAGCTGCGCCAAAGGCCTTGTACAAATGCAAGTGCAATTTCACTTGTCCTGCCGCGATGATTTCTAAATCAAAGAAGCCGTCTATGGAAATTGTACGTCTAGAATATTTCGTTAGGCACGAGGTGAGTGGCGTATAAGCCCGACGCAATTTAGAACCAGCAGCAGAGCCCTGGGCTTACCCCCAGCACCTAAAAAAAACAACCCCGAGGCGGGGTCTGAACCCGAGGGAGGTTCTGTAGGAGGGACAGGTTTACACGCCCTTTGTGAGGTGGAGTTGGCCAAGGGCTGGACTTTAGGACACAAAATGTAAGGGGAGGAGTTAGGTTCATATGGCACTGCAAATAATGCCTGGCCACTCCATCATTGGTATCGTTACAACCAGGTTGTGAAGTGCGGCGCAGAGATAACGTAGTCAGTCTTCCGTCTCGTGAGACGAACAGAAAAAAATATCGCGCCTCTGGAACACCCATAATTGTGCTTACTTGTGTTATATTAGCGACGCTGGCTTGTGTTATTTAGCGTTCGTGCTGATCCCGTTTCAGAGTTACTGAGCTCTGCTAGAGTGATCTTAAATACAACTTGATTATACCGACATATGGTGGTATGATTTGGATCGGTCACTGAGAAGAGAAAACTTCTCACGGAACTGACGCAAGAAAACTGTTAAAACTGGTAATATTTGCGGTGCAAATTCCATTTATCAGAACATAAAAGGTGTTAATGCAAAACCAAGTGAACCAGACATAAGAGGGACATATGAGACAGACGTTTCTGTAAGACCACGCGCTGCAGGATTCACATTCATCCACATGACGTAGGGTTTTACCTCAAACTATACAGATTATATCCCATCAACTTGAGTGTTAATTATTTATTCAAGATATTCAGCAGAAAAACTCGACATTATTTTTTTGTGTAACTGCAGAGTAAACCGTGAGTTTTAGGGATGCATAGAACTTGAAATTTTTGAAGAAAACTACAGTGTGCATTCGTTATTGCTGAGTCGTAAATGTCAAAATTACCGTCTACCACACAACGATGATTCCGAAAATCTCCGATGATTCCGAATTTCGAGTTTTATATATCTAAACAGAAATGATGTCGCCGCTTGACGCGATAATGTGAAGAGTAAATTGCCTATAAAATTCTCTGAAAAAATAACGAATGATCAATACAAGACGTCCTGTTGACTATACATATATATACAACACCTAGCGCAGCTAGTCCACACAGAGAAAAACCGAACTTCAGTCTCCAACTTCATACTTTTCACCATCAAAGTTTCTGCACCGTATATCTCTTTAGTTATTCTATACCACATACATGACTAGTTGAAAACACGCACAGATCCTCAAGATGCAGCAACAACAACAGGTGTTAGCACCAATCCCCAGACCAGTTCCTCTAGCCCCTTTGACTCCCTCAGCTTTCCCCAACGTCCACTTGTCCACCGCGAGCCTGACCTCCGCTACACTTACTTCTCCACACTTTTCCCCACCAAACCTCACATCGCCGCACTTGTCATCCCCAAGCCTCACTTCCCCACATCTTTCTTCCCCGCACCTGGACCAGCTCATGGGGAGTCTGTACCCCTGGGGAGCGTTGAGTCTCAACCTTCCCCGGCCGCCGTTCCCCTTCTACCTTCATCAGCCACAGAATGGGGAGCACGACAGCAACAAAGGTTCGTAATTATCATAAAGGAACTTTTAGATAATTTGCGTATTATTATATATTATTTATTATATATTATTATGGCACATATTTAGAAAAGTTTTAGATATGTCTTTCCATAAAATAGTTCTGCAGATGACAAGGAATTGAATAAAAATGTTTGTAAACAATGTGAAAGGGTCTCATTGTTTACAAGCAATTAAGTTGTTCATAAAAGACAGTAAGAACGATGGTAAAGTTAATGTAAGGTGAAATAAATGAATGCGCTTAGATGAGTTTCTCCAAACTCGGAGGCTATATTGCTTCTTCGTTTTTGACCTGAGTTTTTATGAGTGATGCAGTCACAATGCGATGAACCGATGATTTATCTGAACAAGTGAAACAACTTGTCTCGCGTAATCAACTTTAACGTATCTAAATGCATGGTATAATTATGACGTAACTTTGATGTTACTATGAAAACTAAATTCATCACGTCAAGAAATGTTCTTGGATCCAGAGACAGCGTCTATGTAGCTTCCACGCTTGAATAATATTTAAACTAGAACTTACCAGCTCTGCGCAGATTGTGTGAAACTTGGTGTGAGCAGTTTTGATGTTTGAATTCAAGGAAAAAATCCAGAACTGGGTGGTGATTGATATGTTTTAATTGAATCTTATGGGAGACAAGAAATGTATGGGAAGAGGGATTTCCTAAAGAAACCACTAAAAGTCAGGAATTGAGGGAGTGACTGGAATTGTGCAAAGGGCATAAATGAGTTAAAATACTGGATTATGCTAAATGATAAACCCAATTTAATGTTCATATTTAAGTATGAATTCAAAATTAATAATTTATACACCAATTGAGTGAGAAATATTCATATAATTTTTTTACATATTTACAAATGTTCAAGATATATTTGTCCTCCTTTATAATTGTGCTGCACGGCAAATATCTAAACGGTAGCCAAACTCAGGTGAAATCAGGTGATCTCGGTGGCCAGAAGTGTAAAGCCAACTCTTCATTTCCTATATGCATCCATATATCTAACGAGATTTGCTGGTATATATAGGCGAGACGTAAACAGCTTCCTTGCACGTAACCCCATAAGAAATAGTCACATGGGGTTGGGATCAGATGATCTCGGTATATAGCCAGGAGTGTAGAGAACTTGTAGAACTGCATGCAGTAGATCTTCATTTTCTATATATATGCTCTATGCATCATACCCAACGCTCGAAAAGTGACTTTCGGACATCAAGATGCCAATTATTTTGGGTATTGAACATTTATAAATATGTAAAAATTTTAATTCCTCTATTGATGTTTTGATAATTTATTTTGAATTTTTACCTAAATAAATATGAATATATTAAATTGGGTCTATATCAATCAGAATAACCATGTACTTCGATCATTTGGACGCTTGATAAAACTTATAGCAGACACTGTGCAGCTGCAGAACTTCTATAGTGCATCAGGAATAAGAGTTTAGACGAAATTAACTAGCATCCATTATAACTATCTTCTAGTGGTGAACGTTAGAATGCTTAATTTACGTGAATTGATGAAGTTACGCGAACAATTACACACAAGGAATCATTCTATTAATAGTTTATTCATGTTTGTTCTAAGCCACGCATGCAACAAACTTTATATAGCCTATATAATGTGCGATATAAACTTCCACTGTTTAGGCAACGTAGAAAAATCTTTACCAAAACGCCGTTTAAAAATTAAAACGTATAAATTTGGTTGTGAAAAATCTATTCCATAGAACCTCTTTAATATAATTAATTACTCAATTATAACTTAATTTCTTCACCATGGTGATATTATTTCATAATCTTTCTATAGTTTCCACGTGCTATTGTTCTAGTGGCCTATACATGTTCAGGAGACAAATTACAATATAAGATGAGCCAATTAAGATAACTGCAAGCGTTTTATTATGTTCAGATTACGCCTCATTTGCTGCTGAGTGGTTGCAAACAAAGCGAAAGACCAAAGCAACAATAATTTACGATGAATTGATAATTGACAAATCAACTGTCGAGATGACGGCTTCATCAACGAATCTCTAGAACAAATTTATAGCGAAGACCATGAACATGCATTTCAGGAGCAAAAATACCTGCTTATTAAACCCCTTCAAAATGATCTGATAATAACATAATAATACGATCGAATCTGTTAGAACTGTAACACAAATCTGTTACACGTAAATAATAACACGATCGAATTTGTTCTGTAGACTTCACCTTATTCACGTAACATGGCAGAGCCGGAAAGGCCTTGCGCTATATTGCACATTTATATTTTTTTAAATAAAAATCTCAATAAGGGACTCGTATTTGTGATCAAACCATACAATGCACTCAGTATTATAGTGCCTGTTTTTTTAATTACTTCTGTACAGTGGATTTTACTGTTGATAGTGAGAATGCATAAACATTTTAACGGCTTATTATCAGTACGCAGAGCAAAAGAACCCCAAAAAATGCATGAAAGAACCTGTGTCTGTACGTGAAGCGTGTTTAAATTCATCTCTGACGTCACCAGGCCATCGCACAGCTGTTGCCAGGTCTAGGGTGTACAATTAATCCGTTTGCATGTCACATTAACCACACCTTGGAAATTACCGAAAACAGATGTGAATAAATCAGGCGGTATTTTGTCCGGGCAAGTAATATTAAAATAGTACGTGATAAGTGCGTATACCAAAGATAGCGCGTAATATCGAGTGCGTACTAATTAAGATAGCTCGTAATATCAAGTGCGTTACCAAATATAACACGTTATATCGATCACGTACCAAAGATAGCACGTACTATCGATTACGTACCAAAGATTGTTCAGCCATCATTTCTGAGTTATATTTTATCAAATCTTGGATTGCCATGCCTGCGCCGTGCGACGGGGAGTCTTGCTTATTTTTAGGAGCTACACTCGTGGGTCGCAGTCCATCCTAAACTATTGGCAGACAAAATAAAATATATTTCCGCTGGGAATTCCTTCAGTTTGGTAAGCCATTTGGCGAGACGCGTGATCTGCATCGCCGATATTCCGACGGTCGGCCATTATGCTACCGCTTCAAATTTCGGGAAACATCACCGCATTCAGAGATCGAACGCTGCGAGCTCTGATCGTAAATTACCCATCGCTTGTCCAGGAGTTCAAGTTGCACAGAACTGCTCAGGGAAAAAGTAGTCACATGAATGTGCGACTATCTCACTATGGATTATGGAAAATATATTGAATTATATCAATAATTTTAGAAATTTTACTTGTTTGTCTGTTGGTCGAGGCAGTTGCTATAGCAGTATTTCCGCACCTTGTTGCGAGGAGGTTAAATAAATTCATCAGTCTGCTAAATTACTTTCGATATTAAATTATAAAATGGCCTAATGAAAACTTCAAGCAAATGTGAATAAAATTCTTTTAAACATTATCATTATAAGATTTTGTTAACATTACCTGAATAAACAAGAAAAAAACAAATAACGGCCAACTGTAATCATGTTTGGCGTGGATATTTTATCATACTTTCTGAAAATTATTTTTTGTTTATTGCTCGTGAAATTTTGACAGCCTTGAAATAACATGAGCTCGTGATTTGCAATCGTATATAAGCCTAACATGATTTTGTGCAGCAATAACCGGTTGATTTTGACCATAGATGGATAGGAAATGAATGCCATATTATACAGTGTTGAACAATACGCAAGTGTGCGCAGTGTATATCCATCACTGTAAATACTCAAGTGAGTGTAAGTGAATAAATAATGAAACTAAACTAAATAAGAATAGATCAATCATTCTGAATAGATAAAGTTAGGATCAATTCATGATTATGCCGATGTTCTATAACTGAATAGGAGGATTAATTTAATTCAGAATGCTACCGTCTACAATTATTCAGCAGTTACTTTGTATGATAACTCGAGATTTAACCTGCGGTTAGTATACTAGGAATTGAAAAGGCAACAATTTTTTTTAAATTTCAAGATAAATGAAGACAAAATTATTTCCCACAAGAATTTTAACTTCATTTAGTAGAATAATAAAATTATAAAAAAGTAATAATTCGAGAAAAATAACTCCATAATATTAGCAGCCTTTACTTCGGGTTTCAAAGTGGCGCGGAATCGGCCGCGGGCTCATCGATAGCATATATAATATATTGATAGTGACCTCATGTTATAGATTAACTCCCAATTTAGTTGACTATATCACGATTTTCATTAACGCTTCATCTTGACGATGATACAATAATGCTGCACATGATATCTGTAATAATGTTGTAAATCACTTAATTGACCATGGAGATAATGCTGCAGAAATCGAAAGTTTATCCATTGTTTTGCTAATAAATTGATCAGTGATTAAACCGGGGGAAAATAGCTGCCAGACTCACTTCGCGCAGGCTGCAAAACTCTCGAGGCGTGACCACGCTATTTGGCTTGCGTCTCCGATAATTTATTTATTATTACTTCCAATGTATTAGTTAGAAGACATTCTTCAGTGGCACCCTGAGAACAAGAGTGTATTGCCGTGTAGCAGGCAATACAAGAGTGAGGGCAGGGCGGCGTGTAGCAGGCAATACAAGAGTGAGGGCAGGGGGGGCGGCGTGTAGCAGGCATTACAAGAGTGAGGGCAAAGGGACGTGTAGCAGGCAATACAAGAGTGAGGGCAGGTGTGTGGCAGGCAATACAAGAGTGAGGGCAGGGGCGGTGTGTGGCAGGCAATACAAGAGTGAGGGCAGGGGGGTGTAGCGCAGGCAATACAAGAGTACAAGAGTGAAGCTCGGAAATTACGACTAAGCAGCGCGGCTCGAGGCAATCAGAGTGCTCGTTTCTTGGGGTCGGCGAGCTTAAATGGGAATCGGCCCGCCGAGAAATGTTCCTATTAATTGGCAAGGGGGCGCCGCGCCCTTACGACCCCCCGGAGAGACGCGCTGCAGTTGAGCAACTCGGAGAGAGAGAGAGAAAGAGAATAGAAGAAATATTTGTTACGTGAAGATACATAACTAAAGAAACCCTTCAAGTTTTCCCTCTACATACTGCATACCATAAATATCAGAGTCCATAAAACAAACAATAGTACAATCTGGAGTTGAATTTCGTTTCCAAAAAGGACTTTTCAAAACGAAGTCACTCCCGCAATAGAACTGCAATCGGAGACTTCGTTGTGTTTAGATTTCTCACATTTTAGATTTTTAAGGAATAATGTGAATGAACAAAATCGCGTTCATTAAAGTAATTTGCAGGGGCATTCATTATTTCCAGACGACGACGGCAGCGACGCTGGCGACGCGGCGTCTAAGCGGCGGCGGTCGCGCACAAACTTCAACTCGTGGCAGCTGGAGGAGCTGGAGCGAGCCTTCGAGTCCTCACATTACCCAGACGTCTTTATGAGGGAAGCCCTCGCCATGAGGCTGGCCCTCACAGAGAGCAGAGTTGCCGTGAGTACACTGCCAGGTGGTGTTTATGAGGGAAGCCCTCGCCATGAGGCTGGCTCTCACAGAGAGCAGAGTTGCCGTGAGTACACTGCCAGGAGGTATATATGAGGAAAGCCCTCGCCATGAGGCTGGCCCTCACAGAGAGCAGAGTTGCCGTGAGTACACTGCCAGGTGGTGTTCATCTATATAGTAATCAAAGTAATACTCATCTATATAGTAATCAAAGTTTTCCAAGAGGAATTCTTTAGCAAGACGTACAATAACAAATATTAGTCAAGACGCTCAGGTTTTACTACCTACCAAATGACTCCTAACAGCTGACTTGTAAGTCATAGAATCGTCGTCAAATTATCGCCTGAGGTTGAAATGACATACGCCCCCTGAGAATAGTATTTTCTGTAGTGAACTGCAGGGTGTCAAGCAGATTAGGAACAAATAAATTAAAGATTCCAATAATTTTTTTTCGATTACAGTGTAGAGACATCATTGGGGTCCATTCCTAGATTTTAATTAAAAATTTCAAATCTCAATCCAGGTTTGGTACCAGAACCGTCGGGCGAAGTGGCGCAAGAAGGAGCAGACCCGCAAGGGCCCGGGCCGCCCCGCCCACAACGCGCACCCCCAGACGTGCTCGGGGGAGCCAATCCCCCCCGAGGAGCTGGCGAGGCGTGAGCAGCACCGCAAAGAGAAGAGAATTCAGAAGCAACTCGAGCGGCAGCAGCGCAAGCTCGCCCTCAAGGGCGTCCATGTCTCCATCGAGCAGCTGCGCAAGGAGTACGATGAGAACCAAGCCAAGGAAGAGTCAAAGAGAAGAAAAGGCGCACCAGTCAAGGAGTGTCAGCCGACGATATTATCAGTCAAGAGCTCGTGTTTTACAATTGAAAGACTTTTGGCTCCGATGCATTCCGAGGAAAAGGGTCCTCCATCACCGGGTACCCTCATGAGGGCAGCTCCGTCGCCGGTACATTCGTACCCTTCATCTCCCCCGTCCCAGCATCGATGTTCGCCCTCACCGATGACTTGCAAAAGAGATTCGCCAGTCCATACGCCGCTTTCAAGTCCATCTTCGTCAGTTGTTGTTGCCCAATATTCGTCTCCTTCACACGTCACGTCTCATAACTTGTCGTTAAATTCCTCTACGACCTCATGCAGCGATTCTGACGACGTAAACGCTGCCGGTGAAATCAGGCCCATACCTCTCATTAAGCTGCAGAACGACGAGCCCGAACCCAAGTCTGAATTTTTGTCTCGCGTAGACGCGGAAGTTCACGTAAACCACCCGGCGTTCTTTCTTAAAACCGATACCCGTAATTCCCCGGACCAGTTTACTCACTCTCACTTCCAGCCTATAAGCCTATGTAAGTCTGAGCCTGAGGATGAACCTAACTTGAGCCAGAAGCAGGAGTTGTGGCAGTATTTGAGGAGCAGCACGACGCTGCTGGCAGAGGAGTGGCACAAACGATGGCAGGCTGACAGGCTGCCTGCGTGGCTGCACGTCTCGCCTGTCACTGCCACCCTCCACACACAATCCTGAACCTGAAGATGATACCCATCATTGTTTCCGGGCTCTATATGTCGTTGCTGTTAACTTTTTACTAAGAAATTATTAATGTCATCCAAGCAAAACTCTTGACAGTCTATATCAGGTCGTGTGAATGATAGTTTCCCAATGATTATTTTGGGTCAGGGTGTTTTTAAAATCTTCATTTAGAAATCGTATTCAGGCCAATTTAGAAAAGATATGTCAGTTCGTGTTTATACATAACGAATGCTATCTTCCTTTAAAAAAACAATTGGTTGTTAGAATCAGCAATGTCTTACGAAACAATTCCAAAGGAAAATCAAAGGAGGGTTTATCTCTGCAGACCGTGAATGGGAACCAGCCAAGATTGATGTTCAGTCTTCGAATTGCGTTTTAAAATAGCACCTTTTACGTATCAACACAGCACAGTAACAGAAAATACTTTCACGTTCCAAAGAAGTGCAATAAAGCGTGTGAAATACCATGCGTTTGGTGTATATAATAAGCAAGCGTCCGGATCATCTATTAGAATATACATACATTACGAGACAGAGGTATGATGATAGCGATGTATCCTTCGTGTGGAACATATCACCTACGTACGTCATTCGGTTCCGTTTAACTTAATTCGTTGTACGTGTCGTAGAAATGAATTAGTCTCCATTGAATGTTTTAAGACATTGGTCTGTTTCATTTATCCTTTCCGAAAAGCAGTAAAACTAACCATAAGCGTTGTTGAACAGTTAAAATTTGTCTTGGGCAGTAGATGAACATTCACTAACAAACGCGAACGAAAACATATAATTAATAAACACTAATTTTGAAATTTTCTTCCATCTTACCAGAAATAAAAATTAAATTCATTGCTGGCTCAAATGTAACCCAGCCACTTCAAGCAGCAGTTAAATAATGGAATTCCACTGATTTAATTAATTTCGGGGAAATCACGAGCCTTTCGTGTATTTTCAATTTCTTGTCATCTTCTTGATGAACAAGAAATTAGAGAGAGGTGATACCGTAATTATCACTTATATCTCGCGTAACTCAGGAGACATGCAATGAGCTGTGATACCGCTGTTCTATGCATGGCAGTGGTTATAATCAAATATGAATGTTTGTTGTGCAAAATTCTATACACAAATTTTATAAAATTTAGCATAAATATTTTCGGTAAATTCACCCAAAAAAATCGGCAGTATGAGATGTTTTATGCGCCTAATTCTTTAGTTGAAAAAATATTACATACATTTCAATTTTTTTCGAAATTTAACTTCCTCTAAGTATGATATAGGACGAAGTACGAACCTCAAATTGTTCTCGTGATTCCGGGGTTTATGGACGTTGACTGGAGATCGGGTGTAGGAAATACCTCAAGTATTAAGTACCTATATACGACTGATAAGAACCCACATCAATGCCATAAATACTTATATACATCACTGCTTTTATCAATAATTATATGAATAATAAAAACAATACTTATTTCAATGCACACATCAATACTTAAATTAAAACCGACTTTGACCAGAAGACACATTCGTGTTAGATGTTCCAGCTGCATCGCTTCATAAGACTGCTCTCCACGGCATCAAAAATGGTGAAAACGATTTTTTTGGTAAAATTTTCAGCCAACTAAAGGTTCGTGTGGCGGAAGCAGTATTTACAGCACCAGCTCAGGTGTTGGAGTGAATTATCGATGAAAGTATAATTTGAAACTAATTCTAGCATAGCAAACTAAATTAGGTAGCAAGCTCCATGTACCGCTGCGCTATTTCCAAGCATCAAGACACCTGTCAATCCCAGCCCATGTCAAAATGTTGTCGATCTATCATCATTATTCTATTCTAGGTATGAAAGTTACAAACAGAGTAAATCCTGAGGAGAATGAATGGGATTGTGAAAATATTGTAAATTTATGTGACTGTAAACTATCGAGAAAATCCTCATTCATTCTCATTCTGCTACAATAATAGCAAATTGATGAATGACAAAGTAAGCGAGGCTTGTAACCGTTTCACTAGTAACCATTTGATCGCCTGCTGCACAGTTCTCGACCTTCGCATTTTACTGAAGTCTTCCCCGATCCAAATTCGACAATAAACTTTGAGATTCGGAGCTCTCAGTAAGAAGCTGTGACAGTAGCGATTACGAGCCGTACCTTAGCAAAAGTTGGCGCAATCAGTGAATAAAGTAGCGAGTTTGTCCGATTTAGAGCTACTTATTACCTCGTTGTAGGAATTTTAGGGCGCTGCTCACGGACGATCACGGCAATGGCGGCGAGGTCAATTCTTTTAATGAGGAGTGAGCTTCTCTTTTGGTTTCCTTTATAGGGGAGTAATAAATGCTTAGGCAAGTTCATTAATACATATATTATATGAGTTTTTCTATCCGCTTGCCAACATCGGCACGTAAGATGCGATCAATCATTAATCAGGCTATCCGAAAACATGCACCATCACCGTTACCAGAATAAAAGGCATTACAGTGACTGCTGCACGGAGCATCACGCTGCGCATCCCAGTTAAAATTTTGAGCCGAGACCGGCGCCGGGTTTAGCCGGGCTGGTCGCGCTTTAGCAGGATGGAGCCGTGAAACTATAACCGGCCATCTATCCCTAAAACCTGTCTCTTATACACATCTAGATGTGTATAAGAGACCGCCCCAGAGCAGGCGTTGGGCAGGTTTGAGCAGGCGGTGCTCAGTAAGGGCTGCGTGACGGCAGGACAGAGCACACCTGGGCAGGTACTCAGAAGCTAATTAGCGCTGATACGCGGCTGGCGATATCGTCTCTAAAGCGGACATTTCTGCTCTATCGCTGCTCTGTCGCGTCTCTACGCCGGCTCTGCAGCCGGCGACGGCCTGCTCTATTCCCTGCCCTAAATTTTAACTGGGATAAACTGCTCACGGAATGAAGCCATTGCATGCGTGACGCCCGACCACAAAGGACGTAAAGTCGATCAATTTCGCAAAAAATGCATACATATAAAATTAAATAATTTCATATAGAGTACTATCGAAATAAATGCACGGATGTCTCATATTGTTTCAATGAAATCTTATATACAACGAGCGCTCGGCAAAACATTCAATAACTGGATCGTATAGTTAAAAATGCGAGTTTACCATTGAGTAAACCATCATTTGAACGCCTGGAATTAACCATTATGGGCAAGAGAATTCTTAAATTTGAAGCTTAAACACCAGCGGTACCCCAACACCACCCAGTCAATCAGGTCTTGATCGATCGATGAAGATTAAGGCGGATCGATGAAGAAATTAATGCAGATTCTTGCTCGATCGACGTGGGCAAATCCCCATTTGGAGTGGGCAACGGAGAGGGCAATGTCGCGGGGCGCAACGACGATTATTGAGGAATTTTCTATGCAGATTCGGCGAAGATCGTCGAAGTTTCTGCACCTGATAACTTGTTGAATCGAATAATCTGCACCGATCGATGTCGAATCTACACTAGCTGAAGTCGAATCTGCATTAATCGATGTCGAATCATCATTGATCTACGTCGAATCTACATTAATCGATGTCTAATCCATAAAATTTTTTTTCTCTCTCTCCGAGATCATCGACACGTTAC